TTTTTCGGGGGGGGCCCCCCCCCCCCCCGGGGGGGGGGCGGGGGGGGGGGGGGGGGGGGGGGGGGGGGGGGCCCCCTTCTCCCCCCCCCCCCCCCCCCCCCGCGCGGGGCCCCCCCCCCCCCCGGGGGGGGGCCCCCCCCCCGGGGGGCCCGCCCCCCCCCGCCCCCCGGGGCCCCCCCGGGGGGGGGGGGGGGGGGGGGGGGGGGGGGGGTTTTTTTTAACTTAACTTCCCCCCCCCCGGCCCCGGCGGCCCAGGTGTCTTGCCTCTCCTTTCGCTTAGGAAGTTTAAACACTACAGCCGCACATAAAATAAATTAAAAACGAAGTTAGTAAGTGTGTTTCGCGTTTTAAGCCGTCGAATACAGACAACTTTCTTCTTTAAAACTATGATTATACCTACGCCTAGAAAAAAGCAATCATAACAAAGCGAAAGTGCATCGGCCCAGCTGATGTGATTAGGCGCGGGCTCCGTCAAAAATATGGCTAATTTTAATTGCGAATGTTGATAGAGTCCCCATTATCGCATTTTCCGCCGCCTCGCTGCACGCCCGCTCTGTTGATATTTGCGTTTGCTTTTTCCTGAGCCAACGACTGTGTTTTGTCGGAGAATCCTTCGCGCTCAGCTGAAATAAACGTTCATAACGCGACGATATATTATCGAATTGAATTGTGGTGATTTGAGCGAGATTGCGTTCGGTCTGACAACAATTCGTCCCAAAATTACTCTGATTCAATTTGTGACGAAAACGATATGGAACCGCGGTGTGTCGCCGGTGCGAGCGATTTTGGAAAAAAATTTTTCGCTCATAATATTCCGTGAAACGATCTTTCGGGGCACGGCGGTGGAAATGCTGACGGTAGCCGAGTTATTTCGTTCATACTTCAGTGTTATAACGATGAAGCACCACCGATAAAAAATATTGTATAATTTTCAGCGAGTTGAGTGCGTTCGGAAGAAAAGACATAATTAATTTGTAAAATTTTCATCGCTCTCGACAGCAAATGGCTTGAAAATCGCTAAATAGTAAAAGTATCAGTGGGCCGAAACTTATTCACTTCGCTAGCGGAGCATAAAATATTGGGTTATTTTCTCATTTAGGAGATACCAAACGCAGTAATTGTGTTCGGATTATCGTATCGGGTTACCGGGGGTTCGGTGCTCGGTGCGGGCCACGTCTAATTCTATTACATTATGAATAGATTATCTATTTTGGAAGCCGGTTTAGTGTTTCTTGTTGTTCGTAATGGTCGTATAGTGTAGGGTTCCTGGCGATTTGTTGAAATATGATGAAGATTGATGGCATCTGCGCCTTAATAGCTTTATTTGAGAAGTATTTTACGGGAGGCTAATTGTTAGGCTATAATCTAATAAAATATTTCCCACTTTTTATCGAATCGAACGTAACGTTTGCT